GTAGCAAAAAAAAACAAGATTATCATTATTATAAATCTAGTGACAGAGTATAACATTGCATTATAATAGCTTTTGGATTTTATGTCATCAGTTTAGTTACTTAGGAGCCTAGGGTGACATTAGTCTCATGGGATTTAGAAATTAACAAGGAACTAGTCAGTGACCAAGAGGAGACTTAATACTGGAATTTTTCTTTCTTTTCACACTATTCTGGTCTAGAAAAAACTTTATTTTAAGATTTTCTCATCTAATTAATAGTAACTGGGGAATTTAGTATATGGGCTTTCAGGTCCTGGTAAAGCTAGATTCCTTACAAATTTGCTACCGAAATGGCTACTTTGTCATATATCCATTATGAAGCGAGTGTAGTATGAAGTCAGAAGGTAAGTTATATCAAACTTCTCGTTAATTTCCGGCAACAGAAGCGATATGAAAAGCATGTAGACCCAGATACCCGAATGTATTGGCGGCTCATTCCACCTGAAATGCAGATTTGGATATAAATAAACCATCTAAAGTATGTAAATCGTGTTAGTTCTACCCTGTTTTCGCAACTTGGTCGGATCTTCAGGGAGACATTGGGGAACGTACCTAGCCTCGTGTCCTCTGCCACAGTATTCATGATTTCCAGCATTGTCCAATTGGCCGTGTACATTCCCAAAGGTTTTGCCGACATCCTAGTCTGCATCATCAGTTCTATCCTCTAGTGCCGCATCTCTTTGACTCAAACCAACTTCATACGGTCCACTCACTTATTCACACGATTCCGAGCTCTCGTTTCCTCAAATATCACCTAAGAGTGTGTCGCTACAAGTGGGTTTGCTAAAGCGTAACCATCTCCACCACCAGTACCAGATGCATTTGCAGGGCAACTGGCCTACATTCTGCACCCCTGCCCTTTATTTTCATACTCGCTTGTCAATTGGCCGTTGCTAAACATCAAAATCACAGTTTGGCTGCCAAAGAACCTTCCCCTCGTGCCATAGATTACGCCATATTTGAGGAGTTAGAGCAGATAATGCTCATGTACATGTTCAAGCTCAGGTCAGTGCCTGACAAATCTTCTTCTCCCTGGGCTTCAAAGTCGTTATTCAATTATTCTCTCCCTTATTACCACCCACATTATGTCTAATTCTGTGGGGTCCTGTCATAATCGCTGCACACTTATCTCTTCTCTCAAGTTGAAATTCCCATCTAAACCTAGGATACTAAGATTATGTCCCTGTATGTGTGTGTGTGTGTGTTGGTTGGTATCCCACATGGCCAAGCCTGTCATCAGTCACCTTCACTTCTGACGCAGATACGAAAGTTACACACGACGCTTAGTCACACACACTGGTGATCTCTCGCTAGCTCACCTATACCTTAATCTTTTAATGTAGTATCCTAAATCTCACATGTGAATCACATGTGTACATTTTTTGGCCAATGCCATGTCTATGGCCAAGGACACGGGACTAGGTACGTTCCATAAGTTCTTCATGACGCTCCGACTAAGTTGCGACAAGGTCGAAACAACACTACAAAGCTAAGAGAGACTGCGACCAAACAGAAAGCCACACCATCTTGGTCTTCATATCTCCGGAAATCGTTTTATTATATTCTCTAAACTTGTGGTATTTTCAGAAAGATATAGAGGAAAGCACCGTATCTGTAGTCCAGAGTATGCAGTATGATTTCCAGAGTCAAACCGTGGACTTGATATATTCCCAGACGTTTTGTCGGCATCGGCAATGAGCTTTGCCATTCCTGGCACTTTACCATAACTTGTCTGAGACAAGTTAAATCATACCTTTGGCTAATTGTCTGTTGAACAGTTGTTGTATCTCAACTTTTAGCAGAAAATGGGTAGAAAAATCGACTTTTCTTATCTCTTTGACGAGTGGTAGGATGATGGTAAGATTGGCAAGGCTCATTGATGACACCAACTAAGATACCGACGAAACGTCTGCTGTTTTACTCATTCCACCGCCCAATTGTGGATACTATTGACCCCTGCTTAAGTGCATTCTTCCACGTCTCCCCAACAATGCAATCAAGTTGGGAGAACAAGGCCGGACAACTTCTATCCAACAAAAGGGGACTGCGAACAATCTTGGTCTTGATAACTTCAATGTAAACCATAGATGATATGCTAATTTATGCTATATAATATACGTAAATTCAGCCAAAAATTCAAGCCTTAATGCTGATCCTTCGTACAAAGCGGGTTTTAATCGCAAGGCAGGGTAGAATTAGCATTTTCCCTTATAAGAAGTAGCAACCCTGCATACAGCCTATTTTTTAAAGTCATATTTCTTATATTTGCTTGAATATAGTCATAATCGTTTCCCAAAACCTGCACATAGCGCCTACTATGCTCTTTGATTCTAGTTGCAGCTAGATTATTTAACGTAAATAAGTAAGAATACGAACTCATTATTTTGGCAAACTTTATGATTTAATAAATATCCAAAAACTTAAAAGGCCACAGCTAACTGCGCTATTTTTTCTCCAGCTCAATGACGCAGTCAAAGACTCGTTTAGTTGAATTTTGCCTTTAATAAGGCAAATAGCCAATAAATATAACCCTGACTCCCTGGTTGCACAGATTTCTCTCTAAGTGCCTAATAGAAAAGTTTGCTTTGAAGCTGAAATATTAGTGCCTTTTCAGGAAGCCTTCGATCGGTCATAGCAGAGGTATATTATTATTATTACACTTTCCGAATTGATAAACTTCTTGAAATATTTATCGAATTCATCCTATTTACATTGAGATACTACTGATAGGCAAAAAAAGAATGGATTGATTTAATACAATTACTGCTAATATAAATCGTTCTGCAATTTTTATATGCATCTTTTAAAATATTTAGGTGTTGAAGCAAGTTGAAAGCAGAGATTTACCACAATTTCGATTGGATTCGCCTAGCCTATAAGTAGTTCAATGATTAATTGGCGAGAAAAGCTGACGCAAAGGTCAGCTATTCGACCGATACAACAGCGAATACGTTTATTCCCACGATCCAAGTCAGGCGCTAAGGGCAATGCGACCTACATTTCGCATCACTATGAGAAATGTGCTGCTGCAAATCGTCGAACTTCAGTTGGATCTAGCCAAAGCGATTCTGAGAATGATGCTTCAGTTGGTTTTGGAGCACCAAGATCAAATCACAATGGTCAAGCTCATCGTGTCGTAAATAGATCTCGAGGACAACACGGACATCCTCGTCGTTCTCATGCGAAGAGCCGTAATTTCGACCCAAGGCATAATGCAGTTAGAGCCAAAGAGAAAGCAAACTCTTCGCAAAATGGGATTGATCTATCAAAAATCTTTACAGGCTTGACAGGTCTCATGGGCTTTGGCGGAAACGAAGGAAGTGGCACTCTTGATAAGATGCTTGGAAACAAGGACTTAGGCTCTTTGATGAAAATGATGGTTTTGCTGAAAACCATGGGAGGCATCAAAAACAAGGGCATGTTTTCGCTTTTCTAAGAGCTTTCAAACTGGCTCATGCACTGTTGACAAAATGTACTGTATCATCGTTGCTGGTTCTATGCTCAATTGAGTATTCCCATATTTATGTAAATATTTTCTGTATTTCCTTGTCATTTAAAAATGCCATAATAAAAAAGATTTCCCGGTATCAATCGATTTAAAGGCGAACTTTTTGTTTTCATAACTTTTGCGAATATATAAAATTTAGACAACTTGATGGGACAAACACTCTCAAACTCTTGACATATTCTTTATTTACCTAGACATGAAGTAAGCAGGGAACACCAGTCTTACAACTTTTATTATGATATCACCATAGTAGCTGGAGCTTAGCCCTGATAGTAGAGGCCAATTTAGTACTAAGAATATTCCATTTAATTATCTCATTAATGGGAAAATAGTGGTTTAAAGATAGGTCCTCTTTGATTAGTTGCTTAAGGAAAGGCTTTTTACCCATGAAGGCCATATCAAATATAGAACTGCGTTGTCTTCTTTTAAAGTTATGACTTAAAATATAAATTGGTATTCCAAAGCTTCAAACCTGAAACAAGGTTAAGGCAGTAAACTCATGATATATATTTTAGATATGAAGTCAAAGATGTTGTCTACTCTGGCTTTCCTCGCCTTCGAGAATTTGTCCTATTTGAGGAGTCACTTGAATGGCATACCCCATGTTGTATCTACTGTCATTGATGTCATGTAGTCTCTCGGCAACGGACAGATTACTATTTACACTCCCATACCTTTTTCCTGAATCATAGTTGGCACTGTCAATAAAGTCACAAGTAAAAATAAACTTCTTGACCAATTTTCTGTTTAACCGACGTGGCATCTCTACTTTCCTTTATCCTAACTTCTTGCACTGTACCCTCATCACTGACTCCTATTTAATATGACACATTTTTCCCACTGCCATGCTCTATATCGGCATTTGTTCCAATAGTCTCCAGGTGAGTCTTTTCAAATAAGCTCATTGAGGCATCAGCAACGTTGATATTAAGTATTAATCCTGAAATTCTCTTGCTAAGACAGTTATGTCCAATGAAATATATTTTCTAAAGTAGTTCATCTTGTTATCGTGTTATAAATTTCCAAAGATTACACATTCCCTGTCATAATGATTCTAATTCATCAACCTCATAGTCAACTAATTTAAGATTCATATTGTATTCTTCTATATATGATTAAAAACTTTTAGTTAATACACCAAACATAGGCTGATTTCCAGTAAAGATTCTTACATCACTATTCTTAATTAACAAAGA